TACCCGGAAACCCTCAAAGAAGGAGTCCCGCTCGGAGTGGACACTCCCACCCTCCGGTCCCTCGGCGTTTGGACGCTGAAGTCTGAGCTCATTGGTGAAGAATGGGACCCAGTCGAGGCATCCAGCAGAACACAGTTGAAAAGACCACTGCTCCTACGGATGCCTTCGGTCCCGCGGGAATCCAGGTGCCTTTGGCCCTGAACCCCTTGAGGTCGGATGGCCCAGGCCCAGCGCAGGCCGTGAAAATTACCAGGACCCACTGTCCTTTTCCAAGTGGCCCAGGGCCTACGGCGTGGCGAGTGCCCAACTCTACCGGGCAAGCGGCTTGCTGCCATGCTTCTGCGCATTGTCTATGCTGTTCTCCCGGAAGTCGACTGGGGATTCGTGTTTGTTGATGACTTTGCCTGGCTACTGACGAAATCGAGTTCCCCCCTCCTGGCCACGGCCATCTGCCTGTTGCTGCTAGCTCTGGGAACGCCCCTGAGCTGGAAGAAAACCACCTGGCTTGGGTTTGTGATTGACCCAAAAGGACCCTGTGTGCAGATGGCCCGAGACAAGCACCTGCTCGTGGTGGGCATCCTGGAAGAGCTTAAGAGTGGCAAGGTCATGTCGGCCGCTCAAATTGCCAGCGCATTAGGAAGGCTCCAATGGGCCACTACGGCTTGCCCTTTAACCAAGCGTTTCCTACAACCGTTTTGGGCCTGGAAGAAAGCCTGCTTGACAGCAGGACGGCCTAGCAAGCTCATTCGTGCTCTGGCTGCTCTCCTTCTCTCCCTTTTTGACCAGAAATTTCGGCAAGCCTCGCTGTATGCCCAGCTTGCCATTTGGTCAGGGGCTAGTGATGCTAGTGCCTCTGATGATGGCAGTGCCAATGTCGGCGGCTGGCTCTCCAACGTGGACTCCCCCTCCAAGTCGGAGGTGTTCTGGTTCCACTACCAGGTCACGGCGGTGGTCCACCCCTGGGCCTTTGACAAAGGATGCCCCAAGAAACGCATCGCAGCTCTGGAGATGTTTGGCACTCTGATCCTTGTTCACTTTCTCATGGACAAGGCGCCCGCCTTCATCCCCAACCTCAGGCTCCCTCTGGTGAGTGACAACCAAGGGAACGTGTGGTCCCTTCTCAACGACAAATCCAAGAAGATGCCCACCTCGGTCATCCTCATGGAGATCTTGTTCCAGCTGCACACACACGGCATGCAGCTTGCGCCTTCACATGTAAAGCGCGACTTCAACACGTGGGCAGATGAGTTGACTCATCCAGATTTTAATGCTTTCGCACCCTGTCCCGCTTGCCGGTGGAACCCGCGCTTTTCGCTCATTCGATCGATACTGGAGGACCGCATCTTTGATGATCCAGACGCCCTCACCCTTGGCCCGCGCAAGGCGCCCGGTGAGGCTGTGGCTGCCTCCTGTACAGGCTTCCTTCTGGACGGCAAAGTGTTTTAGCCTGTTTTGAGGTACAAGAGGAGGGTCCCAGAACCCCAGGCGCCGTAGGCCCTGAGGGATGGGACCCTTCTCCGTCTACGGACTAGTTTTGGAACATTTCTGTGCGACCTTCGACCGAAGGGATCATCCTGGAGTCGGCAGCCACACCAATCCACCATGCAAAAGAGTGCCTGCATGCATGGTTTTTGGAGTGCCATTTTCATGCGGATATCTGACATGATCCTTTAATCCAGCACCTTCCACCCATGAGTTGGAGAAACAGAGATGGGCCAAGATGGTCAAGGGTGCCAATTGAATTCAGATTGGCAGCTTGCGAGAGCTGCCGGCTAAGTTTCACAACAGCGGTCAGGCTCACCAGCAGGCTGGCCAACCATCATGCAAGCGGAATCAAAACAGTCGTCTCAACCCAGTAGTGTCAAGGTCAGATATGACCGACGGTCCAAATGAAGAGATCTGGCTGTAACACTGAGAGGCTCCATGTAGATTGCCCGCTGTTTATGACGATTCCTGTTGGAGTGAGTTGTGCCTCAGGATCGACGAGGGGAGCATGTCCGGCTTTATGACGGAGTTTTGCGTGTGCGTTCCACAGTCTGCGAATGGCCTGCCCGGGGAGGGAACTTCCGAGCGTGTCCGTTCCGATTCGCATCATGTTGCTTATTGCTGGCAAGGCACTGGCTGATATCGTGCCGGCCGGCGGGCGCTCGAAGCTAAGCTCTTTATGTGCAGTGTTGGTAGTGCACCGCAGACAGCGGTACCCGACGTATCTGTGATGGCTTGAGATGCCGACTCTGCCAGTCAACTCAAGCACATGCATGCGGATGATGAAGCCTTGATACTCAAGGTTGCCATGGTGCACTGTTCGCTGTGGCGTCCTGCTGCGAGGACGCTAAGCAACAGCTCTAATTGTTGGCAGGGCTCATTAAAGGAGATGTGGCTTTTGCCGCTCTAAGCTATCGTCTCGTCTGGACATGAACTATCATCGCTCCCAAAGCGGATTCATGCAACGTAGTAGGATCCCGGTTGTAGTCCCTATTACGGGGGGTTCAGTGTTTTAAATAACTACAGCTGTGATTGATTATCTTTCTAATCTTTACAGGCAGGATGGACTTTCAAACCCTGAGCACATGACAGCCCTTACTTATCTGATCACTGCCGTGCGGTTCCTCTGAGCCAGCTTTGGTTAGCTAGGAGTCTGGATGGGCAGATGCCTGCTTGAAGGCCTGGGCAAAGATTGCTCCAGGTACGAGAAGGGACCTATTACATGTGACAGAGATCTGTTCCAGGGATGCATGGAAGTTGATCCGTATCATGAGCAGAGTGCCTTCGAAGTCATTCCAAAACACTGTTGCCACTTTCACGGATACAAAACGATCTTCCACCTTGCATCTTCTGTAGCTGCTGCTACGTTTTAACACATCATGATCATTGAGCAAATGTAGGAGCAGTTGCAGCTTGTTGAAAAGAGCGGTAGTGGAGCTCCAGAATCTTATTGTGTACCCCAGCATTTCCCTTAAACCTGATACCCCGTCGCATGAATTTGTCAGTGCCGTTGAGCTACAGGCCTTCGAGTTCTCAGATGGGCTTTGAGCTCGGTCTGGGCTGATACGATCTGTTACACCCAGATTTCACAGGCTGTTGAGATTTCTGAGCGAATGTGGCACCGGAACAACTTAGAGCGACATGCCACATTGCCGGGCAGAAATTCTCGTGCCGTAGGCGTTGTCTCGATGATCTCGTTGACTTGAAGTTCTACGGGAGGAGAGCGGAGCCTACAAATGGTGATGCCTTGTCGTTCGGTTCTTGCAGGAGCCGACGCAAGCAAGATCTTCTGAGGTGGGATTGGGATGGGGGTTTCACAGTCTGGTCGGCCTTTTTTGCGTGATCTAGCCGCAGCGTGACGCTTGCGGAATGAATCACGACCGGAGCTGATTGCTGAGCCTTGCTCTGTGTTCAAACCTCGATATGGGCAGACGCATCCTCCGACGAGTCCCATGCGTGGCTTCTGAGCTCCTTTTCTTCGACAATGAGCCACCCGACACATTTGGATTGAGAAGTGCCACCTTGCAGGATTGTCGCCTTTTCAAGGTCCAGGTGGTCGCAAGATCCTGCACGGACAGTTGGGAGACGTCCTCCGTTTATTTCTGGGCTGTACCAGGCCAAAGCACTGCTCTGACGCCGCGGAGTTGGGTGCAACGGCAGTGAGCTTCAGCTGCATGGAGCTGGCATCATCTGGGGCATTCGTCAGTCAATTCAAGCAGTAGTGCAGGGCTGCGGCCCAGTTTTCCAGTTGTTGTGGCACCTAGTCACCTAGTCAGAACAGTGAAGTTGTTATCTTTGCCACCAATGTTACGTGCAGCCGCAGCAGCAGGAGCGGTGCTGCTTCTGTCGCTGCCGTTGCCGTGCAGTCGTCGTTGTCGGTGTAGTAGTAGTAGTAGTAGTAGTAGTAGTAGTAGTAGTAGTAGTAGTAGTAGTAGTAGTAGTAGTAGTAGTAGTAGTAGTGTGGTGTTGCATGGCTTGCTGCAGCAAAATTTTTAGCAGCTGGACAATGAATGGTAGCTGCAGGGGCGCCAGTGCAGCCAAGGCCGAATGCCCGAAGTCCGTTTTAGCTAAGTCGACAAGGCCGCACATACCAGTAGTCATGATCCACGACACAGTCGCGTCGCAAGATTTGCAGTATCGTCGCGAAGTCTTTCCATGAAAGCAGCTAGACCGAGGGGACGCTGCATACATAAGCTGAAGCTTTGAATGCAGAAGCCTTATCATGTGTCCAAGGTTTTGTCCCAAAGGCCTCACGCAAGACATGTGGAACGCGGCCGACTGGAGCTCAGAGTCGCCAGCCTTCAGCTCCCAATTTTTCGCTTGTCCTTTTCGTGGTACCGTTTGTCTTTCCACTACCTCTACACAGCACCGCAGCACTACAGCGCCAACAACGCCGAAGCAGAACTGCTGCACTGCACCACCACACCACCACGAACAACGACAACCACAACCACCCTTCACCACAACCACACAGCCGCGACCGACAACCAACCACCAACAACCAACCACCAACAACCGACAACCAAGAGCCAACAACCAACAACAAGCCACAAACAACAAACAGCAACACAACAAATAGCGAACAGCAACGAGCGGCGGAGTAGTGCCGGAACTTGCTCTGACGCAAAAACTACAAGTGGCGAGCCGACTGTGCCTCAATGTTTTTTCCAGCCTATGCTTTCTTGTTGACAAGAGGGCTTGCCGCACAACGCTAACCAAGGAGCAACTCCAACCCTAAACTGGCCGTCTTCTGAACTTGAGTGCCTTGCAGGAAACTTTCGAAAGATGCCTCGTTCGTTGCCTTTCTCACGAGACACCTAAGGAAGGCCGACAGCTTGCCCTCCACAGTTTTGCAGGTTTTCTTCGTTTGTGCCCTGCGAGGGTTCTCTCAGACTTGGAGCAGCATGCTTCGGAATGGATACTTTCGAGCTGCGAAACAACCAGAGACATCGAGTCTCCAGCTAATGCAGAGCTGGCTCATGTGAGGAGTTTCAGGGAATTGGGGTTCAGCAGTCATGACCAAGGTTTCAAACGACATGGCTCAGTGAGAAGGCCCTTTACGATTCGCGAAAGAAGCTTGTTGAGAGACGCCAGCCGTTGCGCCTGGAGCCCGAGTAGCAATGCAAGCACGAACTACACAGGCCACAACAACAAGAACATACGAGAGCATCCACAAGGACACCGAGAACAAGAACGAAAACAGTAACTACCACCCCCACCACAACGACAACGACAAGAATAATAACAACAAGATGTAGCAAGAGCAACAAAAGCAACAAGGGCAACAGGAACAACAAAGCAACAAAACAACAAAGCACCAACAGCAACACAATCAACACAAGCAGCACAACAAGAACAATACGAACAACAAGAGCAACATCACCAACAATTACAGCAACAGCTGCAAGTGCAGCAAGAGCAACAAGAACCACACGAACAAGAGGAGCAAGAATAACAATGAGGACGAATAACAACAAGAACAATAGCAACACCAGTGTACCAATAGCAACAGGAACAACAACGGCAATAGAAACCACGAGAACAGCGACAACGCCAACGGCACAGCAACAGCAGCACAGCAACAGCAACACGGCAGCAGCAACACGGCAACAACAACACGGCAACAGCAACGCTTCACAAAAGCAACCCGGCAACAGCAACACGGAAACGGCATATTGGCAACAATAAATAACGGGCTGTCAGCAACACGGCGAAAAGAACATCAACAGCAATAGCCATTACTACCACCACGTCACTTTGATTTCTACTTTTATTCCTATTGTTCCTACCATTACCCCTTCCCCTACTCGTACTACCCCCAACATACCCTTACCCCTACTGCTATGCTACGGCCACCGCAACTGCTGCCGCTATGTCGACTGCTGCAATTACAAAGATGACCACGAAGAGTACTGCTACTACTTACTTACTACTACTACTACTACTGCTGCTACTACTACTACTACTACTACTACTAATGCTACCACTACTACCACTATCTTTTGTACGGGTACCAAGACGAGTATTTGGAGCAAAGCAGCAGCACTCATTATATTCTGACTAGTAGCAGAGGTAAGCTGGTAGCAACAGCAGCACAGGAGGTAGTGGCAGTACAACCGGCATGACAGCGTCAGCATAGCTGCGCGAATACCCACGCGTGACAGTGATAATGGACGACGGATCTCCGACGGTGCTGCATCTCTCTGGTGATTCCAGGTCGAAGCATTCCCTCAGGCCGGGCGTGTGATTGGCGCGAGCGTGAGCCCAGTGGCCTCGAGGCAAAAAGGTGTGGACTGCCGGGTGACCGGGCACCGAGGGCTCCGACAATTCGGTGCGAGATGCGAGCCGGTAGTAGTACAAGAAAGGGACATAAACGCACTTCGTGCCTGTCGCTGTCTGGCATCGTGCCACGCCAAGGTCTCAAAATGCCGGGAAGACCAGAAGCAAGCCAGATCGCATGATAACATGAGGTTCCAGCCTGGCCAGAGTAGACAAGCAACAGCGTGTATGCGTGAGTTAGATCTAGCAACATGGATAGGAAGTGCTAGCAAAGCAATTTTGTCACAATCCGTCCGCCGCCGCATGCAGCATGCTTCAGCTGCAAGGGACTTCCGTCCCGGTGCTGCCATTGACTCCGCGACCCGATGTCGTGACTTTGGCTCTGAATTTCGGAATTTCGGCGTTGGTGGTGGCATGTCGCAAGATGGCAGCTGCTGCACATTCATGGCAAGGTGGACAAGTTGGTGCAGTTCTTGCATCTCAAAGCAGATCAACATCTTTCCGACAAGGTCGCCGGAGGCTTTCGCTTGCCAAGCGATGTGACTGTGTCTCGGCTCAGGCCCAGGCATTGCTGTGGCGCTGTGCTGCCGAGGGTCGCTCTGTGCCGGAATCTTCGACGTTCGCGACACGGACGGCAGACCGCGCGGACCCACGAGCTCCGAGGCATCCTTTCGGTGTCCTGGCCGCGGCAGAGGTGGCTTGGCCGTCCGTTTCCGCAATGCCACAACCTGGCAGCTGGTTTTCTGCAAAGGTCCGACGAGCTGTTGGCAAGTTCGAGCAGCTGCAGAGGCTGCCAACGTGCACAGTGTTAGCTTGGCATGCAGAGCCAGTGTTGCTCGGAAGATGCAAGGCGGGCGGAGGAGAAGATTCTGGGGCCAGCAAGTGTGCTGGAGTCCAGGTCCCGTAGGAGTTAGGTTTGCCGGTGTCCTTTTGCAACAAGTTGCGACTGAGGCTATCTGCTAAGCCAAGATCACGCGAGTCGGAAGAGGTCTGTGCAACGGTCATGCAGCTTTCCTTGCCTGATGCCAAATGTCGAGCTTCTTGGAACGTGTGACTAAGGCTTCAAACTCGAGAGATGGCCGAGCCTTCAGCCTTCTCCATGCAAGGATTGCATGAGCTTTCAAGCAGTCATCCGTGGCTTCGTGTGCAAAATGCGAGGTGCAACGGCCGCTTGTTGAAGTAAACACTTTTCTGTCGTTGAGGCCAAGTCGCCGGCAAGACCTCGGCACGGCCACAAGTCGTGCCTTGCATGCACAAGTCCTGCGAAGCCAAAGCCGGTCAGTGTCCAGTTTTTCATTACTACACAGGGCTGTGATGCTCTGTATGAGTCTCGCTTCTTGTGCCGGTCTTTCACCGCGAATTCTGACTCGGTCTGTGGGAAGGACGCAGACTTTCTTTTTGATGACGGTGATAGAGGGATGCGACTTCGATCCTGCAGGTCAAAGATATTGCGCCGCTCTGCTGAATCAGACGTTAATTTCCCCAGACGTTCATAGTCCATCAATTTCCTGTCCTGGTCACGCATCGACCCTGGCATGGCCAATTGACGAGCACTTTCGGTGAACTGCCTCCAAGGCTCTACCTGCGCTCCCAAACACCGAAAAGGCGCCTCAGAAGCAGACGCTGCTTGGGACTTGCCTGTGCCGCGCCTACTGCTACTCCTACTACTCTCCTACTGCAGCGGCTGCTGCCACAGCTGCTGCTACAGCGTCTGCTACAGCCGCTGCTGCTACTACTACTACTGCTACTACTACTAGTACTACTAGTACTACTACTACTACTACTACTACTACTACTACTACTACTACTACTACTACTACTACTACTACTACTACTACTACTACCACCGATACAAGGACGACAACGACCTTGACGACGCGACCACCACGACGATGACAACCACGACGACGACGAACCTTCCTGTCTTCAGCATCCCCTCGTCATGACTTTCCTCCACCTCACGGTCATTACCCCGCATCATCATCATAATAGCCATCATCGTCACTATCACCATGATCGTCACCGTCACCGTCATCATCGCCAGAATCGCAGTCGAACCAATACGATGGGTGTATGTAACAATTGTAGCATCAACAACAACAGCAGTCATAACAATCGCCGAGTCATCGTCCCATTCCTCCTCCTGGAGGCGCGGCAGCTCCGAGCAGATTTTACGAACGGCCGCCAAGCGGCAGTGGGACGTGGCAGGCCGGAGCCGATGAAAGATTTCGCCTTGTCTTTGCTCCCATCCTCCCAGATCCTCCCAGCCCCAGCAGGCTATAGCAACCTGTCGCGGGATGAGGTGGAGAAGGCACGGGGGTCGGTGAGCGAGCCTCGTGCAGCTCTACAGCACTCCTCGGGTCGGGGTTGAACTTGTTGGCGTGGTTCGAGTTTGTTGCACCATCCTCAACTGACGAGAAACGAGACGGTCAGCTGGTATTTGCGGTTTCAGGTTTCTAGGGATTGCGGGTGCTTTGTTCTGACCAGGTTCTTGGGTTCGTCGGGTTTGGACTTTTTGAGGTTTAGGGTCTTTAGGGTTCAGGGTTCTTCTGGTTTAAATTGTCTGGGGTCTAGGGTTTCCAGAGTTTAGAGGTTCAAGGGAAGATGAAGGGCCGACTTGTTTTGAATTGAGCTTAGTTGTTGTCTAGGGTGCAATGTGCAGGTTTCAGGTTTCATCCAGTGTGCGAACTTTCCGGTGCACGAATCCGGCTCGTATATTTAAGAATCCTGGGTGCGCGACTGCGCGAATCCAGTGCACGAATCCGCAGCTAGCGAGCGCGAACCCGCCATCCAGTTAATGCACGTTGTCTGTGTGACACGTGTGTGCGCATGGACATTAGCGACTCGTCGTGCCGGCAGCTGCTTCGGCTCGACGTCGCTTTTTCGGCGATTAGGCGTTCTGTAGCATCCCCCCGGTTGAGCCATGTCCTTCTCACCGGCGGATATCGAGGCGGCCTTTGTGGTGATCCTGGCGGCGCTGGATGAAGGGGAGGACCTGGGCCCCTATCTCCAGCAGTGCCCGGCAGGCGCCCGGCGGTCCTTGATGCTTATGCTGCAGGCGTCCTTACCGAGCCGGACGGCGGCAAACCCGGCACTGCCTAAGGCAGCCCCGCCGGCTGATGGTCCCGGCACTGGTGGCGCATCCGGGTCGAATGATGGAGCTCCCGGCGGCACCGGTGCCTCTGGTTCGAACGATGTGGCGGCGTCTGCCGCAGCGGGGCAGGCCATCCCGGAGCCAAACCCGGAGCCGCCGGCTGCTGCGCAGGCGCCCGGCTACCCGGCACCCTGGCCGGTGCCACCGATGCAGAAGCGGCCTCCACCGGTGCCGGCGGGGCACGGCGATGGTCAGCAGTCGTCCCAGGCGGCGGCGGCCCCGGCTAAGCCAAAGCCGAAGGGCCCGCCTGTTGCCCTGTGGGCCTCCGAGGGCTTCAACTCGGAGGCGGATGCCCGGCAGGCCAGGGAGCTGAACTTTGTCTCCGCGGCGGAGTTCTACGCGGCCTGGGCGGCGGCTTCTGCGAAGCAGTCATCTTTCCCGCCGGCGAAGCCGGCACCGGTGGCGAAGACGCCGGCCCCCAACTCAGCGGAGATGACGGCGCTGCAGAACCAGATTGCGGCAGAGATCGCGGCGGGGGCCCCGGCACAGCCGGCTTCTGCAGGCCCCGCTGCCCAGGCGCCCATCCCCCCCGGTTTCGTCCGCATGGAGATTCGCGGCGTTACCTACACGGTCAACCGGACCACGGGGGAGGGCTTCCCGGAGTTGCCGCGGCGTCCTGGCCGGTCGGCGACGGACGCAGAGCGCCGCCACAATGATGAGCTCTTTCGGCGGCTGGTGGACATTCGCTTCAGGCTCTGCTCCGTCGAGTGGCAGAACCACATTCGGCGGATCAACCAGCCTGGCGCCTCCTCGGACGTCCCGGTCCCGGCGGCGATGATGGCCTCCATCGTCGCCTCGGTGGAGGCCCTCGATGAGCTCGAAGATCGGGCGCGGCTTGGCGGCGGTGCAGCCACGGCCGTGGTGCCCACGGCTCCCGGCGCAGCGGATTACATAGTGCGCTCGCTGGTGCCAAACCATCGCGGCGGTCGCATCCCCGAGCGGCTGGCCGGCGAGGTCTGGTGCGTGGGCTGGTGTTGTCCCGGCTTTGAAGGCGCCTGCCAAAGCCCCGGCGGCAGATGCCTCCGCCCGGTTCTCATTCGGCGTGGTGGCACGGAGGACCTGGAGGCGCACACCAACCACCTGTGCGATGCGTGCCGGCGCTACCGGAACACGCGTGACGGCCGGTTCTAGTGCCACCCGCCGGCGGGCTACTTCGGCGAGCCCTACCTCTTCCTGGCGATCGCCCGCATGGTAGGTCTCCTGGCGTAGCCCTCAGCCGGTTTCTTCTTCTTTTTGGCCCCGGCGGTGCCCCGACGCCTTCGCGGGCCTCTCCGGCGGCCGCTGGCCCACGATGCTCTAATTAGTTTCTGCCGTTGCTTCCCGGCGTGCCGTAAGTGCAGGTCGGGAGGCCCAAGGCCTCGGATCATAGCCTGGCGCGAAAAGTCGGCCCGGCGGTGTGCGTCTGGAGTGCAGTCGGCGCAAGTGGCAGTGCTGTCGCCCACCCGGCCCGGCCCCTCCTACCCTAATCGTCGTGGCGCGTTCGTTGAGGTCGTAGCGGCTCAAGTTTCCCCCTCCGGTTCAAGGATGTCGGCGGTCAATCTCTCGGCCGGCGGCGGGTTCGCGCAGTTGGTGCGGGCCTTCGTCGACATCCAGGCTCAAGAGTTCCTGCCGATCCTGCCGGCGGTGGGGGTGCACGACCTCCGAGGCGCCTTGGACAATACTGGCGCGCTGCTCCTGGCCGGCGTGCCAGAAGAGGTGCTCCTTAGGCTGGGGGCGTGGCGCCCGGCCCCGGAGAGCTCAAGTCGAGCCCCGACGCCCAGCCCGGCGGAGAGCAGGTTGGCCCTCCCGCCAGGCGAGCAGGGCGAGCCACCGGAGGCGCCCGGTGGATTGGAGCCGGAGGCGCAGCCGGTCAGGGCTGACATCCCGGTGAGGCGCGATGGTCGGCGAGCCTGCAAGAGGACGGCCCTTCAGGCAGCCTTGCCAGAGCTCCAGGCGGAGTCGCTGGCGGACCTCGACGGCGCCGTCATGGCGCGCTCCTCGGAGGGACCCTTCCGGTCCAGGGTCCGGACCTGGGTGGACTTCACGGCGGCCTGGGCCCTGCCGGCGTGGCCGATCTCCCTGGACTCAGTCAGGAAGGTCGCGGCGAGCATGCGGAAGGGCAGGTACCGCTCGGCGCAAAACTACTTCGACGCGGCGGTGACCTATACCAGGAACACTTCCGCGGCGAGCTGGTGGACCCGCTTGTCCGGCGGGCCATCCGGCGCTACGCCAAGGCGGTGGTACGTGGCCTTGCGGGGTCCAAGCTCAAGGCGATCTTCCCGGCGATGCGGCTGGAGCCTCTGCTGGATCCCTCGCCGGCGTCCGCCGCGGAGCCCTGGGCCCCATGGAAGGCGGCGCACTCGGCGGATGCCCTCCTCCTGGCGGTGTGGTTCATGCTGCGGGAAATCGAATTCGCGGCGGCCCGCACCGAGGACAATTGAGGCCGGCGAGGAGTCCTTCTTCGGATCCCCCTGCACAAGACGGCGCAGGGTGGTGAGAGAGAGCTCACGGCGCGGCAGCTCCGCTGCGCTTGCGGCATCCAGTCCCGGCCGATGTGCCCGGCACACGCTGCGCTGCGCCACGTGTCCAGGCTGAAAGCGGCGGGCCTCTGGGTCCGAGGCGGGCCCTTGTTCCCGGATGCGGCGGGCGCCACCTGGGCCAAAGGTGAGACCGTCCTGCTCTTCCGGCGGGTGCCGGCGTGGCCCTTACCACGGTCGACCACGAGGGCCAGATCGTGCAGCTGTTCGCCGGCCACGCGGCGAGGGTAGCCGGCGCGGCCTGGCTAGCGTCCAAGGGGGTGCCGACGGCGATCATCCAGCTGCTGGGCCGTTGGTCCTCCACGGCGGTGGAGCGCTATGTTCAGGCGGCCCCGCTGGCGGTGGCCCCGAAGATCCCCGGCAGAGTCCTGGCTGGGAGCTACGGTGGCACGTCGGCCACCGATGAGGCTCGGCGGGCCACGGCTGGAGGCGTGGCGCCCAGCCCACAGGCCCCGGATGCCCCGGTGCAGATGGAGTCGCCGGGGACGCCGGCTGACCAGGCAGAGTTCTCCCCGGCGGTTCTGCTGGTGGAAGCCCCGCCTAGGGGGCCGGCGCCCGGTGGGAATGACACCCGCCGGCGCGGGAGGACCTCATCTACAACGAGAAGGGGGCCAAGGTGCACCGCCCGGACCCGGCGGAAGCTAGCACGGAGCAGTTCCTCTGGAGGTCGAGGCGCGGCGCGTGGCCGTACGGCATCCGGCGCTTCTTCAGAGTGCCCGAGAAGCCGGCGTCAGCCGCTTGGTGCGCCCGCTGTTTCCCGGCGCCGGGGGGAAGGTGAAGGTTCACCGACAGAGCCGGTGGACTCACCGGTAGCGTCCAGCTCGGCGTCCGAGTCGGACAGCTCGTCCTCGTGAGAAAACAGACGGCGAAGGCGGTGAGCTGTGAGCGGCTGTGGTTGTGCCCCCCCTTTGCTGGCGGTTGAGTGCATTACCCGCGGCGATAGCTCTCTGGCTCTCTGCTGTCGCCCGCCCTCGGCGTGCCTCCGCTTAGGTCTCCCCTCCTCGGTGCTGCGGCTGTCATGGCGGCTCCGGGCTTTCCCCCAGCTCCTGCGGCGCCTGCGGCGCCCCCGGCTGCGCCCGCACTGGCGGTGACCATCATGACGCCGTTCGTGGATCTGGCGGCGGCGGCGGGGGCCGGCCCTCAACTAGCTCACGGCCTACCTGGCGGCCCGCAACCTGAACCGCACGGCGACGCTGGCCCTCATCGCACACTCCTGGCCGGAGTTTGAGGACCGCGTCGTCCGGCCTTTCCTGGAAGGTGTGGAGATCGCCGGCACCGTGCACCAGGCGCCGGAGGCGGAGCAGGCGGTCGTCGAGGCCATCCTGCACCACATGTGGGCCGAGGCGCACAAGCAGTGGGCCACCCACATCGCGGTCCCGGCACCGGTTGCCACGCCAGCCCTGGCGGCGGCGGCCCCTGGAACGGTGGTGCCGGCCCTTCCCGGCGACAAGCCACCGAAGACGTTCCCGGAGTGGGGGCCGCTGGTCAAGCGGTACAACGAGGTGACGGTCGCCGGCGAGCCCCGGGATTTCCCCACGACCCTCCTCCTCGGCGCGGAGGAGGTGCTGGCGTGCATGTACTTCGAGCACACCAAGTCGAAGGAGTACACGGCGGTCGGCTTGGGAGAGATTTTGCAGCGGC